AGTCCCTGCTATTTTCCCCTAACTAGCTCACAAATACTATTACATATCACTAAGACTAGATAATTCTTCGAATGAGAGATCCTACCCTACAACGGTTGGACTAAAAAAAGAGTTACGAAATAGAGCTTAACCTAACCTTCAAAAATTATTTAGTCCTCGCAATATGTAACTTAAGATATTCATTTACTAGTTAGTAAAAGACAACTAGAACTACTAAAAGCACAATGCAAGAAGCATTCAAGTATTGAGTAAAGATAATCCAGCATATACTAATCAGGCCATCATACTGACTAATCTATACTAGCATGCAGTTCATAAAGCTGATACACATCTAATAGGAACATAAGGCATCCTTCCTAGATCCTTAGACCTAATTTAGCATACAATTCTCGTAACATATCATAACATAAACTTGTATGGGTAATTTGGGATAATTACTTGAGCTCAGCCGATTGCATGCACCACACCCTTTTCTCTTTTTCAACATCCCTTCCTTTTTCTAAAATTCTTTTCTTTTTATCAAATTCCTTTTTATAAAAATGATTTTCTGTTGAAAAATTTTCATACCAAGTCCTCAGTTTGAGTTCAGACACACTCGAGAGTGTGTCCAAATCCCTCAAACCAAGGCTCTGATACTAACTTGAAACATCCAAAAAATACGGTAAAAAAAATCGTGTTGAAATCATTAATAAAACCATAAATATCATCATTGATAAAAAAAAAATCATAAATCATGTATATCAAAAATATCATAACAAATGTCAATGTATCAAAATCACATGTCAAAGAATCAGAGTGAAATATCTAAGGCTGAAAAGCTGTAATGTGTGCCATGTAGTCATCCCGAGCTCTTCCCCTGGCTAGTGTAAGTACCTGAAACCATAACTAAAAACTGTAAGCACGAAGCTTAGTGAGTCTCCCCAAATTACCACATGTCATACACCTAAACATATACTACAAACATTGGGCCTAACCCGCTACATCGGGCCCCACCCGACATCAGACGAATCTGGCATTAGGCCCCACTCGGTATACATATCTGTTTCTACTAGGCCCCGCTTGTCTCTGGGCCCCGCCCGCTTTACACATACAAATATATAATCATAATCATTCTAATACATAACAATAAACACAACACTATAACTGCTAGTCTCAAGGCCTAACCTATCTTGGGCCCCGCCCCTACTATGCTAATAACAAGATATAGAACCCCGTCCACACTCAAATAGTGATGAGATACAGGTACCCGACCAAAATCACCTCCATACCAGGCACATACAAGTATCGCAAAGACAACAAGTATAACTAAACATGCATTCCGTCCTCGGGCCCCACCGACATCGGACTGAAGTCCGGAAAGCTTAGACCTTCCTCCGGCTTGCCCTGACATCGAACCGAAGTCTGAAATGCACAATACATAACCGATAAACTAAACATTCCTTGGAATTTCCTTGACATCTGAACTAGGTCCAACATACACTAACATACATAAACGGACCGACATTGGTGCCTTCGACCCGCTCTGTAACACCCGGTTCCCGGTGTGTATTTAAATTTAAATAATTGTATGTTTTTACACTGGACTCAATGACTTGGAGGCCCAAATCGTCGAGTAGACTAGACTTTGGACACGGGTTTTAAGTAACCTAATCCACGAGTCAGAGAGCCCGACTCGGCGAGTAGGACTGTCTGGATGAAACCCTAATATTTAGGTTTTGCACCCTATTTAAACACCTTATCTTGTCCCAACCCAACCTCCATCGTCCCTCCCATCCATAAAAGCCCTAACTCGAAACCCTAAAGCATTTGGAGTGTTCTTGTGCTATTTTTGTGTGTTTTTGGTTGTTTTAAGCTTGAAGGAAGAAGTAGAAGCTTAGGGGTTCCAGAAGAAGCAAGGAGATCTAGAGGTTTTGCTTCATTACCAGCTCACTCAAGGTAAAAAGCTTCAAACTTGACCATCTATCTTTTAGATATCTAGTTAGGGTTCATTGTTACCTTTCCTAAGCTTTAGAAGAGCCAACTTCGGGGTTTTGTTGTTCTAAAGGGGAAGGACTTCAGATATGGAACCATTGGCGGTTCACATGGCATAAAGGTGCCAACTTTATGGCCATGGGAGTACCATGCATCATATAAACCTCATTTTAGAGCCTTTTGAGCCAAAAGACCCATGCATGAACGTCATGTTCGTAACTTTACATGAAAAATGAACCCTAAGAAGTCAGATATGTGTTTTGGGTGCATTAAGACCGACTGAAATCGACTGAATAGTTTTGGACCTAGCGGGACTCGTCGAGTCAGGTCGTATTTTTCCAAACCCCTTCTGATATCGAGTGGTGTGTTGAGTTGGGAGAGGACTCATCTATTTGGGTTCGTAATGAACCTGAAGATCAACGTACTCGAGGAGTTTGAGGATGAACTCGGTGAGTCCAAGGCAATATCCCAACTATATGAAGATGAACTCGACGAGTTCAAGGATGAGCTTAGTGAGTCATGGAATAAGCACCTTAAGTTGAATGAAGATGAACTCAACAAGTTTGAGGATGAACTCGGCGAGTTAGTCGTAGAAGGTCCCGACTTGGTTTAAAGGAGAACTTGGTGAGCTCTTGTAAGGGTTTGCACACTATTTAAACGCCTTATCTTGTCCTAATCTAGCCTCCATCGTCCCTTCCAGTCCAGAAAATCCCTCGCTCGAAACCCTAAAGCGTTTAGAGTGTTCTTGAGCCATTTTTGTATGTTTTTGGTTGTTTTAAGCTTGAAGGAGGAAGTAGAAGCTTGGGGATTCTAGAAGAAGCAAGGAGATCCAGAGGTTTTGCTTCATTACAAGATCATTCAATGTAAAAAGCTTCAAACTTAACCATCTATCTTTTATATCTCTAGTTAGGGTTCATGGTTACCTTTCCTAAGCTTTAGAAGAGCCAACTTTGAGGTTTTGTGGTTCTAAAGGGAAAGGACTTTGGATCTGGAACCATTGGGGGTTCCCATGGCATAAAGGTGCCAACTTTATGGCCATGGGAGTCTCATGCATCATATAAACCTCATCTTAGATCCTTTTGAGCCAAAAGCCCCATGCATGAATGTCAAGTTCGTAACTTTACATGAAAAATGAACCCTAGGAAATCAGTTCTATGTTTTGGGTGCATTAAGACCAGCTGAAATAGACTGAATAGTTTTAGACATAGAGGGACTCAGAAAGTCACTTAGGTGACTCGGTGAGTCAGGTCTTATTTTTCCAAACCCCTTCTGATATCGAGTGGTGTGCTGAGTTGGGAGAGGACCCAACCATTCGGGTTCGTAATGAACCTGAAGATCAACGTACTCGACGAGTTTGAGGATGAACTTGGTGATTCTAAGACAATATCCCATCGTATGATGATGAACTTAGCGAGTCATGGACTAAGCACCTTAACTCGGATGAAGATGAACTCGACGAGTTCGAGGATGAACTCAGCGAGTCAGTCGTAGAAGGTCCCGACTTGGTTTAAAGGAGAACTTGATGAGTGCTTATAAGGCTCGGAGAGTAGGGCTGAAGGCTTGGCGTTTCCTGATTTCGGGACTCGACGAGTTGCAGGGCCAACTCAGCGAGTTAAATCAACTGGATGTTGACTTTGACCAAGGTGTTGAACTTGACTTTGATTTTGGTCTGAGCTGATCACGAAGTCGCAATTAAGAAAGATTGTTGTGTGTAGGACCTGAGAGGGGTTGATTCCGGAACCAAGGACAGTTCAGACACTTTATGATATCGAGGTGAGTTACCTTCTAGTAAAAGTGGGTTGAAGGCACCATTGCCATCCCATCAGTAGTTGGCTATAGTTGAGAAGATTTTCTTTGTGATAATTGTCTAGTTTACTACTACCTGATATGTTTATATGCCATCATGATACGTTATATGTGATAGTGGTAGTAAGAGAGGAATAGTCCCAGGTTCAGTTGTTAGGACCACAGGGTAGGTCGGGCACCATAGATATTCCTGACGATATGTTTATGCTATGTTTTGTATGGTAGTAATAGGGGTGAAATAGTCCTCGGAGCCGGTTGGAATAAACCGGAGGGTAGGTCAGCACCCCAGAACTGCTTGACATGGGTAGGTCAGCAACCGAGAACTGCTTGACATGGGTAGGTCAAGCACCCCAGAATCGCCTGGCAGGGTAGGTCAGCACCCCATAACTGCTTGACATGGGTAGGTCGAGTACGCTAAAATTTCCCGGCAGTATGTTTGTTGAATGTATGTGGTATGATGGAGGAACTCACTAAGCTTTTTGGTTATGGTTTTCAGTGGATCGCACACACATGATTCGATATTTTGAGATCCATGGGATTGTACTCTGATATTATTATTACTGATGATACGATTTTTGAGACTTGTGATTATTGTTTTATGGATTGATATGACATCGATGATGTTTTTAAGTAAATTGTTTTATGAGTAACATAATTAAAACAAAATTTTTGGTCTCGAAAATTAGGATGTTACACTCTTCTACAGGAGAAAACTCACCTCACAAGCTGCCAGTAGAATCCCGCATGTAACCTCTCGCTGCTAGCTGGTAGATCCCCGAACTATTGACCACTCGACTCCCCGAGCTATTAATTCACAAGGAACACTTAGTCAAAAACTGAAAATTCTTCTAAGGGTAACATGTAACACCCGTTTATTTATTAGATAATAAATAAATTAAGGAACAAATGGTAGCTCTAAAATAAATAATTATATATGGAGGGTGTTGGTTTCGAGGAGTTAATTTGCAATTTTAGAAGTCGGGGATTAAAAGTGTAAGTTCTGGATCCTATTTAAATATATACAAAATTAGGGGCCTTGTGGTAATTATTTAGGATTTAATTTAAAAAGGGAAAGAGGTGGAGGGGCTGAATATGTCAAAATTAAGATATTAGGGGTTGTTTGGTAATTCATGGGTCGAATTTGAAAGGAATTTATGAGATCAGGGGCTAATGGGTAAATATTAGATTTAAAGTGAAGAAGATATTGTGGGGAGGGACTAAAAATGGTAAATGAGTGAAAGTTTCAAGAATACGGGACTTATACCGGCGACTCTTCCTTCCCTCTCATTTTAATGGAACAAGACCCCTAATCCTAATTGATGCTCAACCGCCACCACAAGAAACTACCCTAGCCGCCGTCGTTAGTGTCCGGTCCGACCGCCGCCTCCTTGACATTGAAGCTGGAGTCCACCGCACCCAAGATCACCGGCGAAGCTACTGCCAGCGACGAAGAGCAGCACAAGGATGCCAACAGCGGGTTGTCGCTACCCTCCTTCGGTGAAACGAGCTATGTTCGCCACTGTTCAAGTCGTGTGTGTGGATACGAAGTTCTCGGTAATGATTGTAACCACCCATCTACTCCTTTCTCTTCGTTCTTTTTGTGATTTGGAGTAGTTTATGTCGACAGGGGCTGCCGATGGTTTTAAATCACCGTTTTTAGTGTTTCCGATCGGAACCTGCCACCGTAGTGGTTGGGTTGGGAGTAATTCAATGTCCAACTCTTGTTTACAAGTGCATGTGTATGTTTGCTCGGCTGTGAACAAAGAAAAACCACCACCGCCACCGTGAGGTGATGGCTATCATCGTAACCGTTGCTGCTACTGTCGTTTTGGTGTTGTTGCCGCCGCCTTGAGCCACCAGGTGGGTGGCTGGAGTGTTGGATGCAATTGAAGTTTATTTGTGTGTGTTTTGTCTAGTTGGAATACCAAGAACAACCACCACCACCACCACCGTGAGGTGGTGGCTGCTGCCATGTGCCGCCTCTGTGTGCTTATTTTGTTTAGTGTGTGTGTGTGTGTGTTCATCTTGAGATTTAGCCTTGTAAAATGTAATTGGAAATGGAATACTGAGAAAGAAACCCTAACCACCAACGTAGAGTGGTGGATGCCGCCTCCTGCCGTCACCGGCCGTCGTGTCGAGTGGTGGTGTGCCTTGCCTCATTGTGTTGACTCGTTTTGGGTGCTTGAAACCCTAATGGGCCCAATGAAGCTTAATGGGCTTAGTGAAAACCCTAATGGGGCTAATTATATTCTAGTGGGCCTAATAGGACCAATAAAGTCCTAATTAACCTAAAAGCCCAACAAATTGATAAATGGGCTAGTATTTGGATTCGAAAACCCTAATGCTAATAAAACCCTAATTTGGGGAATTTATTGGGACACGCGAGAATTATTTAATAACTTGAAATATTAAATAATAATCATTGGCAAAAATTAATCTAAGCAATATTGGACTTAATGGATTAAGTCGTTAGTGGATTAAGTCCTTAATGGGTTAAGTGGGAAACACTTAACCCTAATCGTCATTTTATATGAAACCCTAATTTCACTTGGGTTTATTGTTGGGACTTTCTTTTGGTCTTTGGTAATTGGGTTATTAATAGGCCATCTAAGAATGATCATATGGACTATAATAATTTAATGGGCTTTAGGGTAAGGCCCATATGAAGGTTTGGGCCCAATTTGGAAAATTGGGCCATAGATGGGCCAAAATTGGTCCTTCATGATTATGCGATATAGGGCCATTAGAATGTTGAATGTTGGACTGGACTAAATGGTTGGGCCTTATGGTAAGACCTTATAAAGGTTTGACCGAATTTGGAAAATTGGGCCAAATGTTGGGCTGTGAGCCATAGTTGGAATTTTAGGCCTTTGGATTGGGCCTTGGGCTTGAATCAAGCTAAGGGTAAAACAGTCATTTACCCCAAGCTTGGACTTAGGGATATGTGTTGTAACCCAATTATTAATTGGGTGTTATTTTGATGTTGACAGATTCGGGAATCTATCAGCCAGCAGCCACAACTTTATCTGCAGGACTTCAGCAGTGTGAGGTGAGTCTCCTCACTGTTTGTATGGGTCTAAGGCACCAATGATGGCCCATTTAGTTTAAGTATGATAGGAAGACCCGCGGGTTAGGCCTAGGCATTATGCATGTAAGACCTGGAGGCGGCTCCTGGCACACAATATGTTATTATGTATGGTAGGAAGACCAAGGGGTTAGCCCTAGGCAATATGTATGAAAGACCAGGAGGTGGCTCCTGGCGTACTGTATGCTATTATGTATGAAAGACCAAGTGGTGGCTCCTAGTACACTATATGTTGATAAGCTAAGTAGAGTAGTATGTATGCTACTTGTCTTTGTGATGCTGGCATGGAAGACCAGGAGGTGGCTCTTGGCACTTGTCTGTGAGACCGAGGGGGTGGCCCCCGGCTTGGCAAGAAAGACCACGTGGCGGCCCCTGGCATAATGGCAAGACTATGTTTGGCACATAGCATCTTTAATGATTATGATATATGTATGGCTCATGGTTATGTATGATAATATGCTAGACAGTATCCGGTTGAAAGAGACCGAAGGGTAGGCCAGCACCCATATATGCTAGGCAATATGTTGATATTTATGGTATGTGGTATTTGGAGAACTCACTAAGCTTCGTTCTTACGATTTTCAGTTTTGGTTTCAGGCACTTTTGTTTTCAAAGGAAAGGAGTCAGATTGATCACATCGCATCACACTATATTTCCGCACATGAGATCTTGGTGATTACACTCTGATATTGTTTATGATAACATGTTTTGACTATTTCTACTTTGGTTTTTACATGACATGATATTAAGGATGTTTTCTTATACCGTTGGTTTTATAATAACTTATTTAAAAATGAATTTTTTTGGCCTTGAATTTGGGATGTTACAAGTTGGTGTCAAAACCTTAGTTTGAGGGATATAAGCACACTCTCTGGCATATCTGGACTCAAACTAAGGACTTGGTATGAAAATTTCCAAAAGTAAAATCATTTTTAAATAGAAGTTTGAAAAGGATTTGAAAATGAGAAAGGGACTTTGAGAAGAACAAGGTGTGTGATGCGTGCAATCAGTCGAGCTCAAGTAAGTTTTCCCCCAAGATACCCATACATGTTATGATATGATATGATTATGAGATCCGCGTGCTAGATTAGGGCTAAGGATCTAGGAAGATGCCTTAAATGCTTGTTGTATGTGCTTGATGAGTTGCATGATACTACTGATCAGTTAGTGACAGGATAGTATGTTTATGTTATGCTTGATTATATGAGCCTTTAAATTGCATGTGCAGATTCCAGATTAAAGGATAGAATGATTTGATTGGAATATGATGGTTATATTTTCCATTGTCTGAATGTTGCTTGCTTTGTGCTTTGTGGGACTTTTAGTGATGTGAGTTAGCTATTAAGTGAATATGCTAAATCACATGTGGCACAGGCTGAATAATCTCAGAGTGATAGATTTGACCCTATTGTGCAGCTTTTGTTTGAGTCCAACCGTTCTAGGGACGAGTCTTTTACTCGAAGGATTATTTGATCTCTGTTACATGTGGCTATATTCACGAGGTAGCTCTTGGCACTTGTCTATGATAACATGATATTAAGGATGTTTTCTTAAAGAAATGAAAATAATACACTCTTCCCTCGTGGAAAATTCATTGACAAAAAGGAATCTGGTTGCATGAGAAAATGCTCACTTCTATTCCTTTCTAGCAAATAAATAAGATTTTTTTTTTCTTTCTGTTACTTCATTCCATTCCCTCTTTGATTGTTATATAGTAAACACTACCTAAAGTTTTTACGAGATTAATGATATATTGTGTGTTATACGTGAAAATTTAGGATACAAATTTGAATTTTTTTCATTGACATTTTGTGGACTCACAGTCAAACAAAACATTCTACAAGATTGTCTAGTTCTCCGAAAGTTACATGGGCTAAGCATGAAATTATCGTTTCAATTGGTAACACATGTTTAGAAAGCAAATAATACACTAACACCTTGTTCCAGAGTCGAAAATAACAAGGGAAGCGGAGAAAAAAAATTAAAGAGAAAGAACGAGTCAAGAATGTTCCTGAGTTTATTTTTTGGAGTGATTTGGGAAGAAAGGAAAGGAAATCACAACATTCTTTTCTCTCCTAATCTTCCTCCCAAATCAGAGATATTTGAAGAGAAGAGAATCACCAATAAAAAAATCCATATGATTATCAAACTACCCCGTATATTCATTTACAACATCACAGGAAAAAAATCATTGCTTCTCTGGTAAGGGTATAATTCTCCACTTTTAGTTTTCATTTCTTTTCTTTCCAATTCAGAAACACAAAGAAAAATAATTTTCCTTTCATTTCTCTCGAACTCGGGAATCGAAAATAAATTTTTACTTTCTTTTCATTTCCTTTCTGTTCTCTCCAATTTTTTTTTCTTCTTTCAAATGAAACTCGGGAACACGATTTAAGCATTCAATCCGCCAATCTTATTCTTAAGGGTGATCATTGGATTTCAAATGGCTAAATGCAAGAAACCGAGGTTGTACTTTCATTTTTGTGCACTATAATATCTTATTTTCATTTGTTTATATTACATCATTGCATTTCTAATTTTTTCTTATTTTAGGAATTTGTATTTTAGAAAATCTAGGAATTATTAAATCGTATTCAACTTTCATACTTGGGAATCTTAACTATTTATAACAATAAAACTTTCTTTATACTTTAATGATATTTGTAAGAAATAGAAAAAGAATTTACTCTAATAAATGAAAGATTTTTTTTGCAACATGTCACACTCTCATTCAATTTATCAAATGTTATTTTGTGGTTATTTTGAATTAATTTTTTTCCCACATATCATTTTATGATTTTTTTTTTGTTTTAATAAATTTCACATAGTACTTTAATGTAATAATTACAATAAATATAGTAATAAATGAATATAAATTTCATTAATAGACTTACCTTATTATTTCAAAATAACCAAATTAAAGCTCATTAGTTTTGTTTTATTATTTATTTAAATTTAAAAGATAAATAATCAATTTTAATAATTTATTATATATATATATATATATATATATATATATATATATATATATATATATAATTAACCCATATAATACATGAGTCTCACACCTAGTGTTATAATAAGCTAATCAATAAAATAACATATTGTTGTTTCTTGCATTTAATCCCATTTTAGACTATACAGTTCCATTAATTTTAAAATGGATTGTTATATTGACGATGTTACTATAGAAGAGAATCAATTAATTCATCTCACTTTTAGATAAAATAATCTCACTTTTGGATAAAATATAAGATAATCATTTTGAATAGTGCTAAAACTAAAAAAGATTACTACACTTGAAATGATTATATATATATATATATATATATATATATATATATATATATATATATATATATATATAATGATTCACTCTATAATACATAAGAAAAAGTGTATCAGCATATATATATATATATATATATATATATATATATATATATATATATATATATATATATATAATACTCTACTTTGAATCCTCTTTGGCTAATTTTAATTGAAATTTTAAACAGAAAATTAACAGTACAAAGTAGAAACCATCATAATCGAAAGTAGAAAGTAGAAACCACCATGCATGCTGGGAAGAAAACAATGTGAAACCCTATTCTTCCAAAAACACTTGAGTTGACCCATGTTGCACCACCTACCAAAGCAAAGTATATATATTGGTTTTTTTGTTATTATACGTCCCACTTTC